AAATAATATCGGTTGCTGAAACTATTCAACTCAGACAATTCAAACTTTCACAACAACAGCCTTCTGAAAACAATGTATTCGCCATGGTACTAATGTACAAATTCCGGCTATTGTTAAAACAATGGCATGAACAATGGAGAAACAACTGAATGAAACTGAGCTGCTGCTTCCAGTAAGCTTAGACCTGGAAGATTCTCTCGAAATCACATCATCTATAAACCATTTACTGTGAATGATTAATGATAAACTACATATAAAACGACAACAAATATGAACTTGGGTTTTGAAATTTCACTTCATGATTACTAGGAATGATTGAATATGCTCTGTGATAGATAACGATCGTTAGAATTTCTACATATTTGGTATGTTTTAGAGTGTATATTCTCTTTGCATTCACAACGATCAGTAAATCAGCAGCGAAACGACCATGAAGTAGAAGGGTTAAAGCGAAAGTATATTCAGATGATTCTCGTATCACAGACATATCATTTATGCGAGAAGCTTAATGTCACATTCATCTTTCAGGTTTTTCATAGAACATTCAAAAAACAAGGCAAAATAAACATAACAAATGAGACCCTTTCATGTAATGCACCATATTTAGAATCTAAAAAAAATCTCCTCCATGATGACTATTTATAATAAAATATTAGAATAATATTATTTTTCTCTGAAGAAATTAGCTAGAAAAAAAAAAAAAGAAAAATGGCGATAAAAAATGAAAAGAGATTGTGGTTGGAAAAGAAATCCAGCTTAGAAATGAGGAGAGACTAGTCCTGATCAACAATCCTGAGATGATGCATGTAAATGGGTAACTTACCAAGACTTCCTCTGTTTTTTCCAAGCGAATAGAGCGATTAAAGAAGCTACACCAACAATCACAATAAGCAACAGCACTGTTGCCACACTACCCAATGTAAACAATGTCGGCAAGGCTTCTGCAATAGAAAACAAAACATTATATTTTTCCCACGTAATCTTGTAGATAAGTCCTTGAGGTACAATATATCTAAATTGAAAGTGTTTCCAGGAGTAAGCCCACGTAAAAAAAACACACAGTTTGTAAAGCGAATTTTAATGGAGATTTTAATGGAGAATTTTAATGGAGACGTAATGGAGACGGGATAATAATGATGGTATTCTAGAATACAAATGGAGTTTTAAAATAGAGAGGAGAGGACAGGATTAAATATCGATTGGTACCCAATCGTTTTTACATCCTAGTTTACATAATAATGATCTAATGGGAACAAATATCACATAATGATGCTGCTCATTGGAATCTATAACATGACTCTTCGCAGTATCAGAAGAACGTTTTAAAATTTAATTTCCTATAATGTCCTTTCACCCCGTAAGTCATAACTCACTAAGGTTTATTTTTGTTGCCAAAATTTGCTTTCGAAGATCCGTTTCGGATGGTAACAGAAAGAAAAAGATACGAACCTATTGAAATGGATAAATTTAACAAAATTTCAATGAATGGACGATAGCAATACCTTCTACACTTTGTATCAAGCGCTCGTAGACCGTAGAAAAAGGTCGTTTCATAATCCAGGCCTTCTAAGGCCGGTCTTTTTTGCTTAACACTGAAGATGATGGTAATACAAAATATCTTAAAATTTGAAGGGAAACGGAACTGAAATAGGGACTGTAAGGAAAGCAAAGCAGAGAGGTACTCAGGCCAATATGTAGTGAGCGCAATTTACCATCTAGGGGAAGTCCTTTTCAGTCCTTACCAAATCTTCCTCAACAGCTGCTCTTTGATGAGTATTTGGATTATGCAAACGGCGAACAACTCCCAAACATATACACAGGTAAAGACACACACGGACACCACACAAAATATATATATATATATATATATATATATAACGACACG